ACCACCAAACCAGTATTATATGGCTTTAAGAAGAGGAAGAAGAAGAAAAAGGTAAAGATACAAATTATGAACAACAAATACGCATCTATCTACAAGTGAATCTAAGAATCAAGTGAATAAATAATCTGGTGATCATAATAGAATCAAGGACATAGAAAGGGAATGGACTGACTATTCTTGGGGGGGAAGGGGTGTGGGAGATGCGGGAAGAGACTGGACAAAAATCCTGCATCTATGGGTGAGGACAGTGGGTGGGGAGTGAGGGCAGAGCGTGGGGTGGGAACTGGGTAGAGGGGAATTATGGGGGGCGGGGAAGAGGAACAAATGTAATAATCTGAACAATAAAGATTTAATTAAAAAAAACAGAGGTTTTATTTCTTATTGTTTTTCAGTATTTTTGTATACAATTTCTTCAATTGTATACAAATAAGTGTCAAAGGGGACAACTCTATAAAACTTGCTAACACAGAATTAAATGAATTGACACAAAATGATTCATTAAACTGGGAAGGAATTCCAAATGCAACTAATGTAAACTACACATCATGGTTCAGTAAGTCATGTTTGTTTTCTTTCCTGTCCAAGCCACACTATTCTGAGCATGGAAAACTAGAGGTAACTCACCTGTGACAATGGCTTTCCCGGGTGGCAGTTGATGCCCCCAATGAAGATCATGTTGGGCATCACAGGTCTTGGATAGTCCAAAACAAAGTCAGTTCGTAACAACCAAATGGATGGTTGGCTGACCAGGTCGTATGCTGTGACAGTTGTCTGGAGAATCTCAGAGGCAACTTCTAAACCAGTTTTGAGGAAATAGCCACAAAGTAAATGTTCCTCTAGGTGGAAGATGAGATTCCGCACTTTCTCCTTGAAGGTCATGGCATCAGAGAACCCTAAGAGAAACCTCGGAACATAAGAAAGAGGGCTGGGGCACTGTGCACCTTCTTCAAGATAGTGGCAAAATAATCCTCTGGTGAAGACCACAGATGGGAGTGAAAAATATTTGGCTACAATAAAGCCACACATGTCAAAAGGGTCTAGAAACACCGCATCAAAAGAACTATCTTCTATGTATTTTACTAATTTTTTGTCATTAAACAAATTCCTACAATTTGAAAAAAAGTATTTAAAAACATTATTTGATGGATTCATTATCAGAGCAAATACACTTTGATCCCGAGTTTTCCACTGAGAGTCAGCAAAAATCCGGAACTGATCATTCAGATCCTCCAGAGTGTAAGACGTGGAATAAGTCTTTACAGTATAATTGGATGATTGTCCCACACGCAAACTTGCCTCTGGCCTGACCACGACCACCTCATGCCCTCTGTGGCTGAGTTTCTCCACAACGGACCGCATGGTAAACCAGTGGCTCCCATCCATGGGGATGACCAGCAGCTTGCCTGCCTGGGCAAAGCCAGGTGCCAGCAGGAAACACACACATAGAGGAAGGAGGCCAGTCAACACCGCAGGAGCCATTGGGTAGCGGCAGCCTGGAGCAGCCCAGCTGTCAAGCTTGTGTGATACAGTCGACGGAAGAAGTACAGGCACAAAACCTGCCCCAAGAGTAGTCTGAGAACAAAATCCAATATTTCCTTTGGGACAAATTCCAAAAATGCAAGCTTTATTGAAACTTACTTTCCTTTTGACCTTTGTGAGTACACAGGGTCCAAAAATCATTGCTTAATAGTTCCCTTTGTAAACCAGCATTGAAGTCATGGCACTATCTTTGCCCAGGTAATGATCAAAGCTATTTTTTTGTTGTTGCTGCTGTTGTTAATCTTCACCCAAGAATATTTGTTTCCATTCATTTTTAGAGAGTGGAAGGGAGGGGGAGAGACAGAGGGAAACATGGATGTGAAAGAGACACACCGATTGGTTGCCTCTCGCACCCACCCCAAGGGGTAGGGATGCGCCTGCCAACAAGGTACATACCCTTGACTGGAACTGAACCCTGGACCCTTCAGTCTGTGAGCCAAACCTCTAACCGTTGAGAAAACTATTCTTATCAGGAAAATATATCATTCAATATTTTCTTATGAGTAAATCACTGGCAATGACTGGTTTTGGGTTTTCTGTTTGTTTTTTGTTCTGATATTTGAACAGCAAGGATGAATTTCAAAATAATTCTGCAGAATAAACTAAGCCAGACAGAAGAGTCCATGTTGTGTAATTTCACTATTGTATTTCTTTCCCCCGTTCTCTCTCTCATACTCTCTCTCTCTCTCTTTAAATGCTAATCACAATCCCTCTCAATAAATTTGATAATCCACTAATAACACATGACCTTCAGTTTAAAACGTTCTTGTTTATAGCATTTGGGTACAGATTGCATAACAAATAGATTAAGTAACAGCATAGATACGGAAACAAAAATGCCAATAAAATTGCAAGTTTTTCAGGCCAGGTTCATGGTTTTTTACCTTTGCCAACCACTTGGGTCAAAAATCCTAATTTTTGTAAAAGTAATCATGAACCTCAAAAGAGTTGGCCCCAAATTATTACTGCTTGCAGGAGTGGGGCCCACAGGCATCTGGGGGTCACTGTAGATGTGGTGTGCTTCTCTTTAATGCAGGAGGCCCTATGACTAAAGTTTTAGTGAAAAACATTTTTAGAAGGCTATTTAAAATTAAGTACACTTTTGTACCCATCCATTGCCTGGATCTCCTCTCCTGTCAACATGGCCATTCTTTCTTTAAAAAAAAAATTTTTTTTTTAATTGATTTCAGAGAGGAAGGGAGAGGGAGAGAGAGATAGAAACATCAACGATGAGAGAGAATCATTGATCGGCTGCCTCCTGCACACCCCCCACTATGGATTGAGCCCGCAACCCGGGCACGTGCCCTTGACCGGAATTGAACCCGGGACCCTTCAGTCAACAGATCAATGCTCTATCCACTGAGCCAAACTGGCAAGGGCCACATGGCCATTCTTTAGCCCACCTCTGAAGTAAGCTATTTTATCTGTAGACATCCCAGACTTGGGGGAAGCTCTTCTTTATAATAACAATTCAAAAACTGTCCCCTCCCCCCATCCTAATTTATTTGTTCTGGCCATACAAATTACATTCTAGTAGTATTCCAATTTTACCTCACTAGCTTCTAAGAGTTAATATATCCAAAACACCACTTTTGAGTTCCCTACCAGAGCTTTCTTCCTCTCCCAGTTTGGCTCAGTAAATGCTATTTTCATCTACCTGGTGTTTTAAGTAAAATAATGTACAAGGCATCACTCTCCCACAGCCCCTCCACTCAAGCTGTGTCAGTTGGGGTTCAATCAGAGAAGCAGAACCACCAACACTACCAATAGTCAGGGATTTGTCATAGGGATTTGACTCATGTGGGAGCTGGTTGAATGTATCTCTGTAAATAGTCTTTGCTTCTGATGCTAGAGTTTAAGGACACCAGGGTGGGTCTTCTGGAAGGAATCAATAAGCTTGGACCCCCAGGAATGAACTTGGATCTACAAGAAGGGACTAGAACAGGGGTGGGCAAACTTTTTGACTCGAGGGCCACAATGGGTTCTTAAACTGGACCGGAGGACCGGAACAAAAGCATGGATGGAGTGTTTGTGTGAACTAATATAAATTCAAAGTAAACATCATTACATAAAAGGGTATGGTCTTTTATTTCAATAGTTTTATTCATTTCAAACGGGCCAGATCCGGCCCGCGGGCCATAGTTTGCCCATGGCTGGACTAGAATCTTGAAGTGTTCTTACTACCTCCAACCTTGATGATGTGGGGGTCCAGCAGGACAAGCTGGTGCTCTTCCTCACCGAGCTAAACACACACCTAGCCCAGGTGTGGGAGAAGCTGAAGGAGGAGCCAGGGCAAGGAAGGGCAGGTGCAGGTCCAATTGCTGCTTCATGCCAATGAGGTGAGTCTGCAGAGAGGTGACAACATGTATGAGCTACAGAAGTGCCTGTCCCACACTTCTGCAATGTAAGAAAACAAAAATTGCCCCTGCAATTTCAGGTAAAAATGTCTCTGTGACTAACCCTAATCAGAAATAGGAAGGGAATTCTGGGAAACAAAATTCAGCTTAGCCCAGTTGATACATTACAAAGCCACCACATGACCAAGTCTCATCCTACCTCCAAAGTAGATCTTACATCTACCCCGCTATCTAGTGCCTGGACATCATTCCACCATCGTCTCTTACTTGAACTCCAAGAACTGCCTCATAAATTAGTTTTTCTGCTTTCCTTTTTGCCTTTCAGACAGGAGTCAGCGGGGTTTGTTCAAACATCAATCACTATGCTATCTTTTGCGTAACACCATCGAATGGCTTCCCACTGCAATTAGAAAACATCCTCGCCTTGGCCAAATGGTGGGTGAGTCCACCTCTTTAACCAGTTGCCATTTGCTTTCTCCACTTATTCAAGGCCTCCTTTCTACGTCTGGAACAGGACAGTTTCCCACCTCAGGACCTATGTATTTGCTGTTCTCTCAGCCTGGAGGGGTCTTTCCTGAGCTCTTCCTGTGCCTCCTCATTGGGAAGTTCTCCTTTATGACGTCTGCTCTGAGGCCAATATCAGAAACAGCCCCCATCCTTGCCATTTACTGTCACATTCCTCTGTTATTTCCCTCAAGTTACTTATCACTACAGCTATCATGTAGCTTTTTCTTAGTTTCCTTCACTATAAAGTGAGCTCTCTGAATTTAGGGGCCTATATCAGTCAGATTAATATTAAATCTCAAACTTCTAGCCCTGTGCCTGCCTCTTAGTAGATGCTCATTAAAGAAATAAAGATGTTTACTAAATATTTATTAAAGAATGGATGAACGAATAAATGAATGAATGAAAACATAAAAAAGCAACTCATTATGGCTC